AATAAACTTAATACTACCAAAACAATTGTTCTGAAAAAATAGGACATCTTGAGGCTACACTGGTCCATACAAAACAGCTAGATATCTCCTGCATAGTGGTTAGCTAAGTGGATCTGTTCTTGAGTGCCAAAGTTTTGACAACAAGATACAATCCAATTAATACCATATGAATTATTCATTGAATTTATTTGATTAATGAATAAAACATCGATACAAATAATGTTCAGTTACCATGGCATTGACAAAATCCATAGACGCACTTAGGGTGTTGTTCATGGTTACACCAAATGCTGCACTCATTGTCCAACCAACACGCAACTGGAGAAATAAGTACATGTACATGTCATAATTTATAGTTTGATTTTTAAATTAAAAGTTTTTATATTTCATTTAATTGTCAGTAATGATATGTTTGAATCTATGATAATCTTTAATCTTCTGATAAAACAAATCTATAAATAGCATAATATATGACAAAATGTTTGAATCTTTACCAGTTTGCTAAATATTAATTAAGTATGAAGTAAGCGACTGAACACTTCCAAGAAATATTAAAATTTCAGATTACAGTATCATGTTCACTTCTTTAGCAATGAAATCGAATCCCATCTATCCAATAGAAAAAAAGACATGAAACAAAAGCAAAAAGCTAATTCAGGGAACCTGAGTCCCCTGATTAATGTTCTGCTTAAGGCAAACTTTTGTTTGTAGAAGCATTTTTAAGTGTCCAAAATTTGTAAATGTTCCTTATTGTTATGGTCTGTGAGCTTCACCCCAGCAATCCATAGTTATGAAGTCACTGGTGGGTTTAGAGGGGGCCGGGGGGGGGGGCATTTTGTGTCCAAAAATATAAATCAGATTAATAAATCAATGTTTTTGGTGTGGGATATTGCATTTAATATACCTAATATATAGCTAAAATAAGTAAAAAAAAATTGATCCAATAAAAAAAAAAAAAAAAGAAAACAACCCTCAAACCTGAGAGCTCTTCTTAGCTCCCTGGGCCTTCACCCCGACCCCTATCTGGTCGGCCCCCTTTTTTAAGAATCCTGGATTCGCCACTGGAAACTGACAAAAAACTACATGTATTTGACTTAACAGTTTTCCTAAGAAGAAATATTTTTTACACAAATTAGCAAATTAAAGTGCACTTTGCAATAGCAGAATTAAAAAGATATGCACGAGTAATCAGATGCAAAATGACAATCTAATTTTTCACATATGTACATGAAGTGCAAGCTAGCATTCAAACTTCTTATTACAGGCAATACGACAAATATTTTAACATGATATCTATGTAAATGTGTAACACAAACTTTCACTTTCGCTTTCAGTGATATCAAGTCAGATTGTTGTCTATATTATCAAAATAACTACCCGAGTTATAGGGAGTTTGAACGCTAGCTTGCACCTTATAAATGTATATGAAATAAGATGAATATCGTTTAAACTCTGAATACTCGCGGATAAAAGGGCTATATTGAAAAAAATCTGCTTTTGCAAAGAGCAGTGTTATTTGTTATTTTTTACATGGAAAATGTCTTACTTGGAAAACTGTTGAGACAAACAGTTTTTTGACATCTTCATAGTTTGGCTTGCAGAGGTGTGACTCTCAGGCCACAGCAGTTAGGAACATTAATACATTTTGGCCACTGTTGAAACAGTTTTTTAAAACAAAAAAATTCCTTAATTAGTGGAACCATAAGGAAATAAGAAGAGGATGGAAGACCTGCAGATGGAGAAAGAAGAAAGGTCGACGTTGACCTTGCAGATTTTGGCCTTAAAGACAACAGAACTTTTTTTTATCAAGTTTTAAAAAATCCATGGACTTAGCTTCATTGCAAAAGATAACAAAGAACTCAAGGTATCATCCATAAACTATATATATGCTGTATATGAATTTCTTACATTGGTCTTTGACCTTTTAACCTCAAAATCAATAGTTACATTAACTAACATGGTATTAAATTTCGTTTTATAAACTTGATCTTAAAATCAGTAGAGGTCTCCTTTAAGGCATTATGGGCTATAATATAAAATTTCACTGCAAAAGCTAAAAAAATACCCCAAAGTTATCACCGTGAAACCATTATTTAATGTATAAATTTCTGAATTTGACTTTTGACCCATTGACCTCAACGACTTTTTGAGATATCGTCCGGAAACGAAAATGTTCCTTACAAACAGAACGTATGGATTTCTGACCTTGACCTTTGACCTATTACCTTAAAATCAATAGGTGTCTTGTTTAGGTCATGGGAAGTTGCGATATAAAATTTGATTGAAAAGGCATTTTGTGATATCGTCCGGAAACGAAATTGTTACACACAAAGAGAATGACAGACCCAAGATAATATTCCCCACTTTCAGTGAAAGCGGGGGACAAAGCAAAAAATACGTCAATCCAGATTATTTCAAGATTTTTTTTTCATTATAGGGAAACAAAGTCATCTAAAATAGCATTTTTTTCTCCTGCATAATTTCAAAATATCTAATCCTCAAAGATTTTGAATTCCTACAATCAAATTGCAGCACAGTTCGAAACTGTTGGAATGTACATATATTCAGTATCCTCTGACTTAAAAGTATATTGTAAGGGTTAAATTCAAAATTTAAAAGAAGAAGGATTTTTTTTTCTAAAGCTATAGAAAACGTTGAAACGTTACTGCACCTGCTAACATGCTGAAGAGAAGAATATTCAATAAAATAAGTATAACCCTCATCCTAGTATTGCTTCAAACGTTTCTGTCTTTGAATTCCGTAACGCTTACGCGATAACAGGTGCTTAAAGGTTAAGAATTCTTATCGCGCTGTGGTGCCAAGTAAAGAGCATTTCTAGGTAAGATTTATTTATACAAACATTCCGAGAATCATCGACCATCATCCATCGTGCGTTAACATGTGAACAAATTCAGCTTCTTCTCTGGAACGTCTGAACCTTTTTCAACCAATTTTGGTATATAGCATCTATTGGCGAAAAGGTACACAAATTGTGAATTTCATGATGTCTGCTTCCCTGGGGCCTAAGGGGTGGGGCCAAAAACATCAAAATCGATGCATTCTTTAAAAATCTTCTTTACTCCAGGGCATCAAATACTGTGGAAACATTTTAATGGGGGGGGGGGGGGGCAATTTTCGTGAGCAAGCAAAATTTTACTGGTTCGTGGAGACCTAAAGTTTTTGGGTGACACGTTTATACAGAAGATTAAATGAATCGATAGTTTGACAAATAGTTCGGGGGGATGCGAATTCGCTGGTTAGGGTGATCCACGAAATCACAAATATTGGTCCACCACGAACAATGATGATTCCACAGTAGTCAAACTATTGGCATGATTATAAAAAGCATAAGCCCTTTACCAAAGAAGATGGGTGAACAAGGCAAGCGAAATGCCTATTGTACGACAAATAAAAAGGTGAAAAATTAAATCTCAATTATGACAATTTTTTTTTTAATATTCAGTTAAAATTAACTTTTACTGTATGTAAAATCTCCACAAATCGCAACAATTATTCAAATTAATCATCTATGCAATACAACAAAGAGTGCAAAATGATCATTTCTTTATATTAAAACACAACCTTTCCATAATAGTGGGTCTTCGCTCCATTTTTTTGAAAGATTCTAAGGTATGCGTAAAAATATACATTCTTCGGTTAACAAAAACATGGAGCAAAGACCCACTGTACCTTAAAAATACACTTTTATGGCACAACTTTCGAAATATTTGAAGTCCATTTAATCAAAGGTCATATCACAAGCATGATTTAAATGCTGATGTTTGGTATGAGCGGTACAGCGTGGTGGTTAGCGTGTCTCGATGGGAAAATTGACAACCAGGATTTTTATTGCTTGGGTTCGAACCCCAAGAATACCACTTTTTTTAATTTATAGAATGATTTTTGCCGAAAGAAAAGTTTTGTATCATAATTTCATACGTTTCAATGACTCTTCTTTATATATAAAATTCACATCTATATACATTTGAAGCTTTAGGCATTTTGCATGCCTTGTTCCCCCATCTTCTTTGTGAATTCATGGCTCCAGTGTCAGGGGTTCTGGTATTAGGGTGGGGCACTATTTATCATATAGTGGATATGCATAAATTCTTTAAAAGCCTTCTCTCCCCCTGTATACTAAGCAAACAACTAGGTGCATGGTAATGATAAGCGAGGGCGCTTCTTCCAATTTGTGAAATTCATGGTCCTTCGGTCAGGGGTTCTTGCGTTAGGGCAAGGCTCTATTGATTAAATTGTGAAATCCATCAATTCTTTGAAAATCTCCTCTGCTCCCGTGAATTAGCAGACAAATTAAGTGTATGGTTATGATAAGCAAGTATGCCTCTTCCAAAATTGTGAAATTCATAGCCCCTAGATCAGGGTCTCTGGTCTTAGGTGGGGTTCGATAGATTATTTTGTGAAAATGCATTACTGTGAAAATTTTCTTCTCTGCCCCTGGGTATATAGCAAACATACTTTGTGAATGGTTTTAGAGAACAAGGTTGCCTCTTCCAAAATTGTGAATTTCATGGCCCGGGGGTCAAGAGCTCTAGTGTAAGGACAGGCTCGATTGATTTTATAGTGAAAATGCAATAATTCTTAGATAATCTTTTCTGTTCCTGGCTTCTTGGAAGCAAACAGAATACAGTTATAATAACAAGGGTGTTTCCACCAGGTTTGTGAAATTCTGAACCAATAGGTCAATTTTTTGTGCTTGGCAGGTCTTTATTGATCTTGTAGGGAAATTTGTAACTCTACTGAGAGAAATTATTCCCCTTTGCTTTTTACCTATGATAATTAATCATTGTATATAATGTAAATGATAGGTTAATTAAATAAAAGAATAATACAAGAAATTTTAAATGTGTAATACAAAGGACTATGAAAAAAAAATCATGTTTGATAGTCTAGTCGAATGAAAGTATATTTCCCGGTTGCAGAAGCTCATACTCAAATACTCCTCTCTAGTTACTTTCTAAAAACCATATTTTAATGACACATTATCAATATATGTTTAGTTTATTTTGTGTAATCGTACAATTGCAATGATGTTACACGTGTTGAAAAATGGTGAAGAAATCCGACATCCGGGGAGTAGTGGTATCGTTCAATGTGAGGATCATGGGGGCATGAGAGCAAGTCTGAGCTGCAATCTGAAACGAATTTTTTCAACGTAATTATTCGTAAGAAAAGACGAGATGAATAATAATTAAATGATTTCTAGATGGTTTACTTATCAGTAGTAGTGTTTCCAAATCAATAGATTAACATAATACGACTAAGATTTTATTTTTACCTAGAATTGATGTCAGGGCAACAAACAAATTCTTGAAAGAGTGAACTCATCCATCTCTGTCCATATGTTTTAAAAATGCTTATCTTATTAAAAAAAAACAAACAAGGTGCTTGATTGACATATCAAACGGAGTGCAAAAACCATGCCTTGAATGTTTCGTCCAAAGACGTCGTATTTGAGTTACAAATCTTGAGACTATTTCATACTATGAAAATTTCTTCGCGTTATAATTTGAGAGAGAAATAATGCAAACCATTGTTTCTAAGCAACAATTTTTTTAAAAAACCAGTATTTCTCAATATATAAAAGAAATAACAAGATCATGTTGCAATACTCGAAACACTGTAACATTTCTTGATATAGTAACATCAATTTTACTTCGAATAAACTGGTTTCTAGTTTATCAGTCTGTATCTTAGTTATAGTTAATTCTTTAAATGAATTCTAGCAATCGATCCTCTTTGCAAAAAAATGTGGAAATTTGCCTTTAGTTTTCCACTTACAATGTTTTAAAATTCTTCCTTTAAAATCTTCTCAAGAACAGCAGAACAACATATTCAAGTAATCTCATGCAGTGTACATTGAAGTTTGTTCAAATCATGATTCCCCAGTCTAGGGTGGGGCCACGACTGAGAGTCATTTTTTTATGTAGCAATGTATGAGGAAAGTCTTTTTTAAATTCTTAATAGCAACAGAGTACTATAGTACCCTTTTTCATACAAATATATTTTTTTCACCCATTTTTTTCTGGAGACGTTGAAAAATTCGCTTTTCCGACAATGCCCCCCTTATTAAGAAAGTGTTACATGTACGCAAAAATAAATAACAAAGTTAAATGGTATCGGTGTTAAAGGAAACAAGAAATTGGGCACTGTGGTATCATTTTTGTTTAAGATATGATAATATTTCACCAGTGATTGTTATTTAATAAATGAGATAATTTGTTCTAGAACTATTTGTTACACCGTATTGTACCCCAGATTTTGCATGTGTTACAAAATGATATGTACGAGGTTCAAGTCAGTCAATTAAAGACAAAACGTACCTTCAACCCATGGCCAGAGTCAGTGCATTGGACAAAAAAGCCCGCCATATCGTTGTTGTTGCCAGAAAATGTTGAAATAGGCGTGTAAGCAGGTATAGACTTACATCCAGATTTCACCTATGGAGATTTCTCGATAGTAACGTAAATTTCAAAATGGTGATAGTTTCTTCTTTACTTTATAGATATAGATACAGAAAAAAGACTCCAGTTTCTTTGAGCCAATCACATTAGAGATATATTTCATTGGAGCACTACTTACCGACAAACCTCGCGTCCAGGAGCTTCTTTCTGTAGAGTTACATTTGTGGATGACGTAGGCCTCAGACGATTGGTGTTTATTATTACTGGGACAGAGTGATGCTCTGCTGTCCTCCACATGAATATTTTCTGCGATGGATTCGATAACACTGATTTTTATATCTCTACAAGCCAGTGGTACCAATGGTAAAGTAGTAGTGGTAGTTGTAGTGGTAGAAGTGGTACTTGGAGCTGTATATATAAGCAATACTTTACACAAGCGTTTATTATGCTTTTAACAAGATTATAGAATTAAAAGAAGTTCCATAATTTAGTGTATTTAAATTTAGTCTATTCTATATGAAAAAGGTGAAGATAACAAACAGTGCTGGATCTAAAAAAAAATCTATAAACGATCTAAATCTGTGAAGAGGGCATACAACACGGACCCCCGGAAATTCCTGAGGCGGTATCAGGTGCCTAGATCAGGTTATAAAGCATGGTGGCATATGCAAGATAAATTGTGTCAATATGTGAGAAAAGTATGTCAACATAGAAGATAATTATGTCTAAAATAAAGTTACGAATTTTTATAGAGAATTTAATCTTAATAAGGGAAAATTTCCCCACTAATTCTAGCATAAAGGCAGAATGTATCGTACGAGGGTCATTCAAAAAAAAACAATGTCGTTCTTCATCATATGATTTTCACAAAATTAAACATCAACACATTTTCATAAGTAAAAACATTTACTTTTGTCGAAGTGTGATCTTAATTGAACTTAATTTTAGAAGGAACTTGTTTTGTAACGTAACGTCACAAAAGTTACTCAAAAATACTCGTTCTCTACACTTTTTACACGACGCCTAACCTGTTCATTAACTAAAGACCATTGGCCCACAACGCTCACCTGAGTACTTATGGCCCCCTGCTGTTTTCATCATCAGATTTTCCCCCTTTTATTCTCATCTAAAACTTTGATCACATATTGCAATTGTGGCCGAACCTATCATGATTTAAACAAACTTGAATCTACATTGTACACAATTTCAGAATGCTTCCATAAATATGACTAATCATGGCTTTGTTGTTCTTGAGAAGAAGATATTTAAAGATATTTCCTAAGTATTCCTATGTAAAACACTTTGATTGCCCATTGTGTCCCCACCCTATACCTAGGGGTCATGATTTAAACAAAATTTGCTACATTACCTGAGGATATATTGATATAAATGTGGCTAATCGTGGCTAAGCTGTTCTTGAGAAGAAAATTTTTAAAGATTTTCCTATATACTCATATGTTACACTTTGATCGCCCATTGTTGCAACACCCTACCATCTGCGAGACATGATTTGAACAAACTTGAACTTACACTACCTGATGATCCTTCCATGTAAAAATGACTTTATCATGGCTTTGCTGTCCTTGGGAAGAATATTTTTAAAGATTTATTCGTATATATTCCTATGGAAAACTTTGATCACGCAACATAGCCCTACCCCTGAAGGTCATGGTTTTAACAAACTTGAATCTGCACTCTCTTAGGATGTATCCATATCAATATGAATTATCATGGCTTGCTGTTCTTGAGAAGATTTTTAAAGATTTTTTCTATACAAACTATACATGTTTATCTAAAACTTTGATGGCCCATTGTGACCCCACCCTCTCCCGGGAGGTCATGATCTGAACAAAGGTGAATCTACACTATCTGAGAATGTTACCATATAAATATGACTAACCATGGCTTTGCAGTTCTTGAGAAACCCCACAGGTCATGGTTTGAACAAACTTGAATCTACACTTTGAAACGAAACTTTCACATAAATTTAATCTTTTCTGGCCTAGTGGTTCTTTAGAAGTGTTTTGAAAGATGACTTTAAATTTTTACTAATTCTTTATTATCTCCATTTGAAAGAAGATATGGCCCTTCATATGAAGAAACTTGCATCTCCTTCACCAAAGGATACTTTGTGGCAAGTATGGTTGAAACTGGCACAGTGGTTCTGGAGAAGATGAAAAGTTAACAACAGCGACAAAAACAGACAATGGACAAAGCTCATTTGATCATGAGATTTCGGCTCAGGTGAGCTAAAATGTCTCCGTAACACTTGACACTTAGTTTGCTAACAATTATTTGAGTAGTGTAAGTTAGTTTGTCAGTATTTTCAAATTTTTTACCCTTAACTCTGCTATCACAGGCTCTGCAGCAGCCAAAATAAATCGCCATCATTTTCCATGACATCACTTACTTTTGATCAGATTTTTACCCATAGTCTGTTTCCTCGCAGACCGTCCATCATCCAATACAGAGTCTTTACCACTCAAAAACTGTCTTTGCCATTTACATACAAATGCATGACTTACTTTCGATACATTTCTTGGCTCCTCAAGCATTTTCAGAGTTTGATTTAGAGTTTCCCCGAGTTTAATACAAAATTATATGGCTACTCGCTGATCTGTTACCTCATTCAATTTAGGTATGACTATTGACACAATAAAGTGTGCTCTCTTTTTTTATATATTAATTGCATGACAACACAGTGAACTCGTATGTCGACATAAGTGGCACGTCAAAATAAATCAATCGGATATCGACAATTAACCTGCATGATAACATAAATATGTTGTATGAGGACATAAATAAGTCCTATGTCAACATAAATTTGTTGCTTCTTGAATGTACATGTATGATACTAGCGTTAGTAAATTATTCCATATTAAAATCAAAATGATTGGTGACTTGCACTTCAAATAATTATCTTGCATCTAGACATACTTAATTTGCATTTTGATATATTTTTTTGCAAGTTTACATAACTTATTTTGAATATAGGAGCAGAAATATGCAAACATAAAAAAGTTATAATAAATATTTTTTTTTTTTAATTCTATCATCACACATTCAAGAATCAATATTATATGTATCATTTTACAAATCTAAAAAAAAAATTAACTAAAAAATAGTTGATATTTTCAGAATTAAATATAACGATTTTTATAATTTTATACTTTATTTCGGAACATTCAAACAAATGAAATGAGAGGGAGAGAGAATTAAAATTAGCTGCAAACCTAAACCACAGATCTGATTGTTTTCTCTGTTTTTTGAAAGTAGAGGGATGCAAGGTCTTTCCACTAATATGATCAAATGCATCTGTCGTGGAATTTTAAAATCATTTTATTAATAATTTAATTTGACTAAAGTTGAAATACAAATTTTCCTTCTTTCTCTCCCCTCTTTCACACACACCTACCCTGGCATTCGCAGAAATGACTACTGATATGGAAATTGTTAAAGGTGACTTCCTTATGGCATTTTCCCTTCTGACCAGATGGACAGCTGCAATGACTATCATCTGTACAGTCTGTAGCAAAGATAAAATATTTATTTTTTTATTTTAACGAATAAAATACAGACCGTGCAAGTAGTACTAAACTAGTTTATTTTTGAATGTTACATTTCATTTCTAGGTAAAAAAAAAAAGCCTTTGAGAAAAAAAAATACTTGAAAAATAAAACCATGTCTTCCAATGCAGTGTAAAGGCATAAAACACAGACAAAAAATAACACAAAAAGGCGTTATATGTATTCTCTCAAGGGAATGGTGACAAACGCTTTTATCTATGTGTTGTTTGACATCAATGAATAGAAAAAAGGACACTGTAAGCAATTATTAACACTTTCTGCATTAAACAATTCAGAGTACTACGATTGTGTGGAGATGTTCGTCAAGCTACCAAACTATCTCCAAGGAGATTGATAGGATCATTTCATAGTCTAACCTCATGTCATCACAGGATGAACCTACACCATCCAGTCAACTGAATGGTCACTCAAAGGTCTGGAAAGGTCACTGAATGGCAGAGCTCTGCCATTCAGTCACCTTTCAGTTAAATGAATGGCGGGATTTCATCTTGTATTTTCTCCAAATAATAGAGCTCACACTGAGCGGAACCTTATTTACATTACCAACGCATTGGCAACGGGATCCAAAAAAATGTAAGCAGTATGGATGTTTTCCTCCGCTACAGTGGCTTGTACAGTCGTTGTCAGATGAACAGGCAGAATGTGAACCACCTAGAAAAAGATTTAGAATATAAAAAAAGTAAAAGCTGTACAGTAACAAAATAGTTTTCAATACTTTATTTGAACATTTGTGAACTAGTGTTGCAAATTTCATCTTTTGATATTATGTTTATATAAAGTCCTTATTTTTCTAACATTTCATTTCCATTTTCAAATATGAGGGAATGGCAAAAACGCCATATGCCAGTGTGTAATGGAGAAATATCAAATAGAAGCTATATAAGTCCTCCTTAATTATTTCAGAATACTATGAAAGTGTTTGATACAATAAGATATAAGTGAACACTAAATGTGAAATGTTTTACCGTGGCAGTTACTACAGTGGCCATTTGAGCATTCACTTTCGTCATTGTGACACCAACTTACACACTCACTGTCATGGTGGCAAGCAGCTGAACAAAAAGTAAAGTCATGTTATAATAGACAGCTAAACAAAAAGTAAAGTCATGTTAACAGACAGCTGAACGAAAAGTAAAGTCATGTTAACAAGCAGCTGAATAAATAGTAAAGTCATGTTAACAGGCAGCTGAACAAAAAATAAAGTCATGTTAACGTTCAGCTGAACAAAAAGTAAAGCCCTGTTATAATAGACAGCTGAACAAAAAGTAAATCCCTATTATCTGGCAGCTAAACAAAATTCAAAGTCATGTTAATAGGCAGATAGACACAAAAGTGAAATTAAATAATTTTTCAAAGAACAGTTCAGACTTAAGACTGTGAAAATCTTATATTCATCGATTATTGAAACATTGTTCTACTAAAACGATATCATAAATATCTTAATGCATCACTGATATTTCTATCATGTTTAAGTATTGAGTACATGTATCTGACCATCTCAAAGACTAAAATCAAATATTATTTAGTAGATTTTTCTATATTTGTACTCAAATTTATTTTACATCGAATTGGTAAACAATCAAAATTCTCAGACTAGACTTCTGATTAGGAGTTTAAAAAGGATACCTATTCTCAATCAAATCTAAATCAACTTAAATAATGATTTTTTTTTTTTAAATCATATATTAGTTTTATACAGCCTTCTAAACCGATTTTGATCAACTAATGATCAGCTGCGGGGTTCTGTTTTACAATTATAATGGGAAATTTTCCAGATATACACCTAGATACCTATACATTAGATTGGTATACAAATAAATTGTACATCAGACTTGCAAACAAGTAGTTTGGCATTATCATAGGGAAATTTTTAGTTACGGTATGTAACATATGATTGGTATTCAGGATCCCTGTTTATATAATATCATTGCTATACCAGGAAATTGATAGAATAGTCGAATAACATACACATTTTTTATTTGGCAAAATATCTCCGACATTTTTTAAAAAAAAAAATGTATAAATATCGCATATTAAACACCCTATTCCTGATATTCTGTAAACCATCTTTATTCGCGTGCAAGGAATATCTTTGAGTTTTGCGACTTTATTTTACTTGCGAATATTTCTTGATGCGAACGAATTCTATGTATTATTTATTCATCCATAAATATACGTATATATACATGTGCATGCAATATTTCCTCATTCTCGAAAAGCGACAGTCGAAGACGGATTTCAGGCTGACGAATCGCCCAAAAAAGTTACGGAAAATATTGTGATTATTGGTTTATAGTACTTTTGTTTTCAAGACCTCTTAATACCTTCTGTAGACTCTGTTAACTGTTGCTTACCTCCAGTATCTAGATATGACCTTCCAGTCTATATAAGATAATTATTAGCTAGAATGTGTTTCAATATTTTTTTTTAGCTCATTTTGAATTATACTTTATATTAAGTATTCAGAACTGACATTTACAGACTGAGTTATTTTCAAGGTTTTTATTTCTAATGCAAATTCTATGCTTTATAATGGTATGCATTATATCAAATAAAATAGCGTTAAAATGGTTGATGAAAAAAAAATAAAACTTGCCTAAAATAAATTAAAACATTTTAAAATCATACTGAGAAAGCAGACTCCCAAAAGCCTCATTTGCACAAGCACAAAAAATTATGTTACTAACTGTGAAATTTCAAATAGGAAACAAGGAAAATTCTCAGAAAATTTCAGAAGCAAGAAGAAAAAACCTTTTCAGTAGAAAAGCCTTTTCAATTAAAAAAAAAAAAAAAAAAAAAAAAAAAAAAAAAAAGATGATGAAGAATCAACCAGCTCAGGCGTTTTAAAGCATTCAGCAAATCCAGTCCCTATTTTTAAAACAATATTTGCATTTAAATAATAAATATTTTCACTTACCAAACATTTCCAAGGAAATTTATGTTTCTGACGTAAATTCATAAACAAATGTGATTGAATTTCTAAAATCTTTTTGATAATTTTATTTGCAAAACAATATTTATGCTGAAATATGAAATGCTAACAAGGAATTGTTTCTTCAACAATTGTTACTGCAAATTGTCAATCCCTATTCAGCTTCAGGGGGAAAACATGTCAATCAAAGGCAAGAGATATAATTATAATACCACTTCAATGATTCTTATTTGCAGATAAAAATTTGCAGAGATATGAAAGGACATCACGATAAATCCTCTCTGGAGAACTCATAACCAAGTCATTAGGTACGGTGTCTCAAACAGAAATCACATCAAAGTATTATTTACAAAAGTAACCGTTCAAAATCTAAAAGAATATGAACGACTGGAACAAATATAAAAAAGGATTTGTTTATTACAGCCAAATATCCCGAAAGGACTTCCTAATATGTATTTTACTTCAGAGACCTTAGCAATTCTTTTAGCTTTGAGATTTTTAAAGAACGACATGCATGTACACATAATAATTAGATCAGGATCTTGGTTTAAAAGGGTCTTCTTAGATCAAAGATCATATACATGTACTACACTTTGGCAACTCTTTATCAGCAGAATATAAATTAATTGAATGATGTCTCTCCTTTACTTTATATTTTTTTCTTCAAAAAATCCATTCATTCCGGTGATATATAAAAATTATTTGTTGTTTTCATGTAATTCTCTTAAAGAATATTTAAGAGAACAAAACAAAACAAAAGTTACCGTACCTACAAACGTGCTGAAAAGAAGTACGGACAGATGTATAAGTATAATCCTCATCTTGGTATTGCAGTAGAGGTTCCTTTGTCTTGTGTTGTTGTAAATGAGATAACACGACTTGTGTATAAAGAGTTCCTATCACGATACTGTACCAGTATTTTGTAATCGGTATTGTTCTACAAATGACATGTACATGTATCTACTTCTATTAGGTTATTCTGGCCTTAATATTGTTCTACTTACATGTATATTGTAATCAGATAATAGAACTACATTTTCCCCATTTTCTTTGTTAAAAAAATATTGGGTGACTAAGAAATTAATATTGATTCAAATAAAGTACTTTCAGTTTATGAGTCCTGTATAAAATCTCAGTCAGTTCTTTCAGGTCAATGTTACGGCCAAGGTTCAAGTTTGAAAATAGACAGTGGTCTCTATAGTCTCTGATAATTTATTGTTATCGGACCAAAATAAGAGAACCAGTGTTGTATAGTATCTTTAACCCTACCCATCATCCCCTCCCTGGGAAAACGATATATCGATGACGTTTTATTAATTAACAAGTTATTTCCATTATATATATATATATATATATATATATATATATATATATATATATATATATATATATATATATATATATATATATATATATATATATATATATATATATATGCTTTGTATGCTAAAATATTTTCAGTAACATTTTCGAAAAAGCCGGAATGATTACTGTACATATATGTAATCTGCACAACAAATAAATATAATTGTAAGGTTTATTACCTTTCGCGATATACTCGGAACGGCGATATTATGCTTATTAATAGTACATGTATATGCTTTTTATGTTGTATGCTGCTACTTGTTGTAATTTGGGGTTGCCCTTTACGCTCAGCAACCCTCTACTGCTTTTAAATATGCCACCACTACTAGCAATCGCCAATATTAAAATAAACATGTTTAAAATTAGGTTTGTTTTACTTTTCTTATAATGAAACATGGAGATAACAAAGAGCAATCAAGTTAAAAAATCCACTGAAAGAATACATAGCATAGCAAACACGGCCCTTGAGCTCCAAAAGCATCAGAGATGGCATCAGGTGCCATGGATGAGAGGCATCCCCTGTTGACCGGTCACACCCAACGTGTCCTCCTTGTCATGACTGGGCAACTGGAAAAATCCGTAGACAATTCAGTGCGTAAATATTGGCCTAACAATTAGTATGAAAACGCCAGTCGGTATTCGACTTTATGATAGATTGTATTTGTTGACGAGGCCATTTTATCGACCATAGAACTTGCAACATAATGATTTAAAACGGAACTGTTAATATCCTTGTTTCATCAACTTGTTTGTCAATAGCTTACTTCGTTTTAGAAACTGTTCGAACGTAGAGCATGCTCTTGCGTATCGAATCAACTGGGAGACATAAACTCCATATGCAGGTGATAAGGGTATATTTGCTACAAAAATAAGAGAAGTGGACGATAGAAAAGTTAAAGTCATCATATTTATCATAAAGTTTTGTTGTAAGGTTACCATTAATTTCTTTTTTAGTAAAATATCCAAATACAAAACTCTGTGGTATCTTTTATTTTTAGTTCACTGGGATACATGTATGTCGAGTCAACAATTGAATGGAGGGAACTATTATTAATTGATAATATGTCATCGATATATTTAAATGTCGACTCGAAGGCCATAGAACGTGTTGTCTTCTTCTCATGTAGAAGTTTTTGAATAAATTCTACTTCATATGAATATACAAATAGAATCCAGCTGAGTAATACAAAAAGGAACATTCCATGTGATGTGGCGAGACGTATTTGTAGCATTGTGACCGATCTTTCTCTACGCTTGAAAAGACTTTCAAAAATTAAAACAACACCTGAGACGACAAAACTACCCAATGAACCTAAATGAAGACGGAATCAACCGGGCAAAAGACATACCTATAACCCAATTATAAAAAATTCGTCATCCAGAGGAAAACGACGAAGAGAACATCTCATTTGTGATAGGTAATTCATAATCCACGTAACCACAATATTCTTAATTCAGCGAAACGATTTTTTCCAATATTAGAATCATCTGAAAACATGAAAAATCTTCTGGACAATTATTAACAGCAGAAGATGAGCACCAAGCATGAGGAGGATATTAACCAAAGCAAAATTTTCCTCCAGCAACCAGAGAATCGTCAAAAAGTGTGGTGACCCCCGATCTGGAACGTGTGAATTCATTCAGGAAGCGAACAGAGTACACTTAAAAGAGGGGAAGTTTTAAAACCAAATATTAGTATGAATTGTAAATCTTCTAATTTGATTTACTGTGCAACATGCCCAAGCAGGGCGAATATTTATATTGGACAGACAAATCAACTCAACGCACGAGTGAGGGTTCACAAACAACGTAAATTCAATATTGCTACAGATGTTGGTTTATTGTATAGAAATCTGATACACGAGGAGTAGTCGTCTCATCTAATATCAAGATCATTGGAGCATCAGTACACGTCTGGGCCGCAATCTATAATACATAATGGAATCGTCAAGTATTGGTTTGATAAAGCTGGGGATTTTTTTGTAGCAAAAATGTTGACATTTTTATTTTCTAAAATAAAAGAAAAAAAAAATTGAAACTTTGATTTAACGTGGTAAGCTATAAGTTAAAATTGCACTTTGTTAGGATGCAATATATTTTAATTAGATATAATTGTGAATACTTTAGGTTACACGAAGCTCATTCAATCAATCATAATTAAAGATACTACAGTGTATGTACCTTTATTTTGAATTCTGTCCCCGTTTCTGTACAGTCGATGAAAAATCCCGCCATATTTGTGCTTTTGTCAAAGAACGTGGAAATAGGTGTGTATGGTAAAATTGATTTACATGAAGAGTGTACCTGTAAAATTAAATTGCATCATCACTTTTTTTTTTTTCAAATTGTGATATAAATACATGTATGGATAAGTGGGTACTAAAAAGCCTATAAACCTATAAAAGTAATATACATGGGGTTTCATACAGTTTCATGATGACCAAGCACTTTTTAATATACATGTAAGATATTTACATCGTGTAGCCTCCTGTGTTATGCATAACTACGATCAAATAAAAGGACATCTAAGTGAACTATATCCAGATATTACAGAAAGACTAAGAGAATTTTTCTATCAGCAAGTAAACTCTTTTAACAAATACCTTAAAAGCGAGAAATTTACTTTTCCCGAAACAAACATATATATTGGAAATGAACTCAAACTATAATTCCTGAAAGATGTATATCATTTAACATTATTTTTTGTATAGTTTTCAGATACAAGCGTTACATGTAACAACACAGTATAACAATGTGAGTGTTTGCTGTTAATCAAAAGAAAATTAAAAGCATGGGATCTCAAGGACCAATTTATAATAAAGTTACGGTAGAAGCAAACTTTCATGGCTTTATAATACCGTTCTTTTGTGATCTAACATTAATTTTTATGAACTTGATTTCATTAAAAACCACATAAAAATTTGAATTTTGGGATTTAATTTTGTGAATAATTCTTATCATCGAAATAAACGAAATTTGATTGCCAACAAATATTTTTACTTTAATGTACATACATGTACTTAAATAACAAACATTTAAAATTCTTTTTCCGTGTGAATCCCATGCATTTTCAGAATCATTTTGAATACGAGGTCAAAAGAAGCGTAAGATATAGGATGTAAAACACGTTTTAACATTTTTGAGGCAATAAAAAGCTTTCGTTTTGTCCGATCATTTCTGCATTTTCAGAATCATTTTGAATACGAGGTCAAAAGAAGCGTAAGATATAGGATGTAAATCACGTTTTAACATTATTGAGGCAATAAAAAGCCTTCGTTTTGTCCGATAATTTCTGTATTTAACTTTAATTTTTAAGTTTTGTTTTTACAAATAGAAATCTCAGGACAAATAACAGTGCTATGAGAAAATGAATTGTTTTTCACAAAAATCAACTTTGTGTAAAATTCGGTTGGCTTCCCCAACTTTTATATTGCTTGAACTAAAATGAGGAATATTTGCAGCTAAAACAATGAGACGTTTGTCGGTTTAATTTGATATACATGTAGATTAATTATTAGGATGTTGAAACACATTCGCACTTCACTTTACTTAAGTTCATCTTCGATGATTAATGTCATATTTCCCTCCTGTATCGTTGCGAGAATAAACAAGAGGCTGTATATTATCCATAGAAGTATAAAATAAAACAAATATAAATATATAAACTGAAAGATGAAAACATGTCGTCCAAAAGCAAGAGAAATAGAATGATCAGGGATCAACAAATTAATAAGTCTTAGTACTTCGTAGAAAAAAATCTTAAAATAGATATATATTTGTTTGCCTGTATTTGCCCCTATATGTCACTATCACCATGTAATCGAAACTTTGTATCATTTTTATTCACAAATCTCATTCATCCTTAAAATATGAAAGTGCTTTTTATATATTATTTTTAAAAAAATTCTTGTATGAAATATGGAGATAACGCACAGTATTCAAGCTCAAAGTCCATTGAAACAATACAAATCGGGAGCAGAGCAAACACGGACCTCCAAAAATATCAAAGGTGGGATCATATACCATGAAGGAGTGAGTATCCCTGCCGACCGGTCACACCAGCGGTGTGCTCCTTATCATGATCGGGAAAAACGGAGAAAAAATCCGTCGACAATTCAGTGTGTAAATAATGGCCTAACAATTAGTATGAAAAACATCAGTCAGCATATGGCTTAATCATGAATTGTTTTTGCTGACAAGGTCATTGTAATCGACCATAGAACTTACGAAATGATGACGTGAAACGAGACTGTTGATATTCTTGTTTCATTGACTTGTTCGTCAATAACTATCCTCGTTTAAGAAGTTGTTCATACGTAGAGCATGCTTTTGCGTATCGAATCAACTGAGAGATATAAACCCCATTTGCATGATAAGCTTAAGGGTATATTGCTGCATATATAAGTAAGGGAAGTTGACGATTAATCTCTTACTCAATTGACTTTTTTATTACATTTTCTACTTGATTCTACGTGATTAATTTGTCATAGGTGAATAGAAAAAGAAAATAACTTCTCTCAGTAGAAAACAAATTTATAGATTTCTGCCCAGCACCAGAACACTTGACCGAGTGGTCCAGAATTTCAAAATGTGGTTAAATACCCTTTGCATCCTTGATGCCCATGAGCAAAGCAGCAGATTTTCTCAGAAATAAAGCCCCGCCTTAACACCAGAATCCTTGACACAGGGTCACGAAATTCACAGTTTTGGAAGAGTTGCTTATCAGAACTATGTACATGGTTGAACTGCAGAATCCTGAGAGCAGAGAAGAAGATTTTCAAGGAATTGATGCATTTTCACAATATTATCAATATAGACCCGCGCTGACACCAGGACCCCTGACTCTGGGACCAAATCATTTGTGAGAGGCACCCTTGCTTATCATACCCCTCACGCCCCAAGGGTGCAGGGACCATGAAATTCACAGTTTTTGTTCACCTTCACTCGATCATAAATGCTACATGCCAAAATTTGTTGTGATTGGTTTTGCAGTTAAAGAAAAGAAACTGAAAATATTCAAATGATAACGGACGACGCACATCTCATATCGCACGATGACGGACAAAATCAAATAGCAATACCTCACCTGAATGACTTAGGTAACCTTTAAATACAAAGGGTGAAAGGCTTGCCATTTTTATCTAAAAGCTTTAACTCAAGAAAAGTTTTAGGCCTAGGTATATGATTGGATGGATTGAGTTTATTTCGACGGGAAAAATACTTGGCATGGTATTAAAGTACATGAATTCATCATACTAGTTAAAGAATTGTTGATTCTTTTAAAAAATTTAAAATCGTACGGAAAAGTTTTGAAAAGAATATTAAGTCTAATAACAATACAGCTTGGCGAACAAGTCAGCTCTAGGCATATAAGGAAACTAACCAAGTATATGAGAAGTGTAATACAGTAAAACACGTTTATAGCGAAGTGCCAGGGAAAAACAATTTTGATTCGTTATGAATGTAATTCGTTATATCCGTGTACTTTTCAATAGGTTTTAAAACCACGGGGGAAGGAAATCACTTCGCTTTAAGCATGCATTCATTATAACCGTGTTTTACTGTATTAATAAGTTAAACTTGAGTTGTAAGTATTGACACAGACTATACAGAAAAGTCAATAATATTGAAACGAAATTTGAAAAGTTAAAGTAAGAGATAGTTTAACTTGACACACTAATGAACTAATAAACTTTTCTCTGGAAGGAAAAGGTGTAACCGGTGCGAATGAAATTTTTGCACACATAGGAAAAAGCAAAATTTTATCTACCAAGTAACCGTATAACCGATTAAATGGATTAAGAAAAAGCTCCTTTGCACATAATATAGTACGACAATTTTAAACAAAGCTGTCAGCAAAGTAGTCCGTCGAGTTATATGTATGTGCGTGCGTAATGATGCCTTATATGGAATCAACAGTGATTCCCCAAAGCCGATCACAACAAGAATGATGTTACACTGTTTCAGAATCAAAGAAATAAAATAAACACGTTTTTCCCGGCACGCAAATGCGCGGTCGTACATCAAATTTCACTTATTTTCGATATTTAAGTACTTTCAATAATTTGCTAGCAACATGCTTGTGTATTGCAAGCATTTTGACATACGCGTCGATATATGGTAATTTTCTTGAAAAGATAATTAGTCCCCTACCGGTGAAACCGGAGAAGACTATGGGTTTCCTCTGCGTCTGTCCGTCCGTCTGTCTAGCTGTCCCTCTGTCTGTCTGTCAGCCTGTCCCACTTGGTTTTCCGCACTTTTTTCCTAAACGCTTGCAGATATTGAGCTGAGTTTTTGATATGTGAGTGTATCTTGATGAGTTACAGATCAAGTTTGCATTTCGTTCCGCTTCATTGATTTTTGACGGAATTACGACCTCTTCAATTTTTAAGGGTTTTCCGCAATTTTCTTCTAAATGCTTGCAGATATTTAGCTGATTTTTGAAATGTGACATTACCTTGATTAGTTATAGATCAAGTTTTAATTTCGTTCCGCTTCATTGATTTTTGACGGATTTATGACATTTTCAATTTTTAACGGGAGCCAGATTACACTTGCCGGTATGGGACTAGTATTGTTAATACATTACTCTCAGAATGCTTGTTTTCGCCGAACTTGAATCCAGCATTGTCAAAAATACTGTAAACTAATTATCATTATGAAACTCAATAAATAAATGTACCAGATCACTCATCCATGCAATACATACCGACAAACCCCGCATCCAGGAGCTCCTCTCTGTAGAGTTACATTTGTGGATGACGTAGGCCTCAGACGATTGGTGTTTCTTATTAATGGGACACAGCGACGCTCTGCTGTCCTCCACATGAACATTTTCTGCGATGGATTCGATGACACTGATTTTGTGATTGCTACATTTTAATTGCACCAGTGGTTGAGTGGTAATGGTCGTGGTTGAAGTGGTAGCTATAATAATGAAATATGGAGATAACGAAAAGAAATCAAGCTCAAAAGTCCCTGAAACAATACAAAATGTGGGCAGAACAAAAAAAGAACCTGAAAATATTAGAGTCGGGATCAGCTGCTATATACGGAGAAGTGATACTCTTTACAAGTTAAAAACAAAGTTGTGTAAAATTAAAGTTGAGTTTAATTTTATGTTCAATATACCGTTAAATAACCAATAAAAGTATATTTTTAAGTAAAAATGTCATGATTTTCGCAAAAAATCTATTGCTTTGTTGTACAGTTCTGTTCATAGAATAAATTTATGAACAATTTTGAAGATATTCTAGTGTTTCTTACCAAAAACAAAAAATAAAAAGGAAGAAAGAAAGAAAAACAAAAATACATTACATATATATATATATATATATATATATATATATATATATATATATATATATATATATATATATATATATATATATATATATATATATATATATATATATATATATATATATATATATATGACTACTAGTGGGAAAAGACAATAAAGGTGAGTCAACAACAAAATCATGATTAACTTGATGTTTCAATCTGAAAATATAAAGGCATATAATTTTCTGATCCTAGTCTTTAACCTCTTGATTGCATAATCAATAGGTGTCTTTTTTACGTCATATGAACCAACGATGTAAAATGCATCAAAAAACATCTAGGAAAACTAGCTTTATGACCAGGAAATATTTTATACAAGATATTAATTTTTTCTCTTGACCAATTGATCTAAAAACATAACTCCTTTAAGTCACTGGAAGTTCTGATATAAAATTTTATAGAAAACGCTAAGGGAAATCTGAAGTTACATGTTTTTTCCGGAAATCATTTTTTTTACATTGTATGAATTTCTGATCTTGATATTTGACCTAAAAATCAACACAGGCGTGGTAAAAGTAACTAGGAATTATGACTTCACTGGAAAAACACAAATAGAACTAAAGATATCACAAGGGAAAAAAACATTTTTTGCAATATATAAATTTTTGACCTCAATATGAATAGGGGTCTGTTTAGGAAATTGTAATATAGAATTTTATTTTCCTTGCAAAATCTCAAAGGCTTTCAAAATATAGTCTGCAAATGAAAGCCATATACAGACTGAGTGTATGATATTCTGACCTTCATCTTTGAACTTCTCACCTCAGAATCACCTCAAAATCAAAAGTGGTCTCTTTTAGTCCAAGGGGAATGAATTTTGTGATGTTAAATTTTATTGAAAAACGATGAAAGAAAATCTGAAAACTGTTATTTGTAATACACCGTATATGATTTTTTTAGGTTAAAGAGTTGTGATATAAATAATTTCAAAGCAAAAACGTAATGGATTTTCAAGATATTGACTGGAAACGAGTGTTACTCAGACAGAATGACAGATAAAAAGTCGGTTGGATAGTCAGACCATAATTGATATCCCACATTTCAGTGAAAGCAGGGGAAAAAGATTTTTAAGGACACTAGTTACAAGCATAAAAATTCAAAAGAAGCACTGTTTTTACTTATCTTCAAATTAAGATATTATCATATTTAAAATTCAATTTAAAGCGTCACATTTTCAAAGCCTGTCCTAAATTCATTTTAGTCAATGGAATATGATGATAACGAACAGTATTCAAGCTCAAAGTCCAATTAAGCAATACAGATCGGGAGCAGAGCAAACACGGACCTCCAAAAACATCAGAGGTGGGATCAGATGCCAAGGAGGCGTGAGCATCCCCTGCCGACCGGTCACACCCGCCGTGTGCTCCTTATCATAATCGGAAAAAAAATGCAGTGTGTAAATAAAGGCCTAACGATTATTATGAAAAACGTCAGTCAGCATTTGATTTGATAATAGGTAGTATTTGCTGATCAGATCACCGTGTTCGATCATAAAATTTGCGAAATGAGACTGTTGATATCCTTGTTTCATTAACTTGTTTGTCAATAGCTTGCCTCGTTTTTAAAATATTAAAAAAAACCAAAATCCACAAGATAGTTCTTGTAATTAATATTCTAAAAAATATAATCGCAATTATGTAAACTAGAGTGTCCTGTATTTTTCTTCCTACAGTTTACATACCCTGACAATGGCAGTATAGATGATGGTCACTACGGTCCCTCACACACTCTCCTGTTTCTCCTGCTTTGCATTGGCAGTGGATGTCTCTGGTGCAGTCTGGGTCAAAATAAGGATACCATAGCTTATAAATATGGTTGAAAAAAGAAAGTAGACAATTAAAAGTAGAATATTTCAAGGAGTGATGGTACATGTATTGCTTTACAAATATCGACACTAGTTGATTTAATAACAACAAATGCACAGTCCCACGGTATGAACCTGCACCATTCATTCAAATGAATGGTGACTGAATGGTCTGGAAAGGTCAACGAACAGCAGAGCTCTGTCATTCAGTCACTTTTCAGTAGACTTTCAGTCACTTTTCAGTTAGGTAAACGGCTGAGTTTCATCCTCTGTCTGGTGTAATTTTCCTCAAATTCTCATCAAATAAAAAATTGGATAGGATTTTTGTACCAAATTAATGTTTAGAATACCATTCTTAGTATTATACATCATTTATAAAAAAAAAAAATAATAATGGGAAACGCCTAAGCGTAGTCTGAACACTAATACTAAATGCAATAAATAAATAAATAAATAAATAAATAAATAAATAAATAATGTATTCGGTGTTTAAAGGTAAATTTGACCTATATTAATATTCTGATACTTAATTTCAATAAAAAAAAATACTACAAAACAAAACAACAAAAAAAAAAACAACATATACTCCAAAATGAGCTGAAGTGTCATTAATAAACTCTCTGCTGTCTATTGAAAAGTTCAACAAAATCTAAAAATTAACTTCAATGAAAAAGTCTTGACATTTTTTCTCTGTTAATTCATATAGAAAATTGATAATTCCACAGCTTTCCGCTTTCCACTCTTTTAAGTTTGTAAGAATTTTTAAAACATATATTTTATGAGCATTGAAGTTTATTTTTACAAGACAATTTTTCTTGCAATAAGTTTGATGTTTGAATCGACTGAAGCCATGAAAACAATCTTATCAACAATTACCATACAAGTGCTTATGATTTATCCATAAGACTTACTAATATAGAGAGTGTTGAGGACTTTTTTTTACCTCATGCGGTTAACACTACAATAATAAGTTTATATTTATACTACCGTAGCAATGACAAACATGATAGTGTCCTGAGCAGTAGGGATGTTTTCCGTTTTCATGACATTGACAATCACTGTTTACTAAACACCTGGGAGCTGAAAAAAAAAATAAAATCTATGCTATGATATCGAAGAAATATGAAAGAAAAAAGGAGAAGAAAAATGAAATAAATAAAAGTCAAACTAGATGTCTAAGGACCTTAACAATCACCAGAACATACTACAATCCTCTAAAGGATACATACATTTAGAATGGCAATTTAATAACAATGACACAGCAAAGCAGAGCATACCCTTTCAAGAGAGCACATTTCTAGCAGCACTGTTAAGACTACATAAAGATTATGGGGCCCAAAGTATGCGGGAAATGTTACTGTGACATCATGCACAATAACAACTCTTCAATATACCAGAAAATGAAAAAAAATGTGCAATTTTGACCTGTATCGATACTAAACTACGTAAATTTACTACTGCGTTCAATTTTGCTTGCTTAGTCCCACACAACAAGAATATCAAATTCATAATAAGGGAACAAATTTATAACAAGCCTCATAGGCCTTAAGACGTTCACTTGAGTATCGAGTTTCTAAAGCTATTGTTCAGTTTGATTCCATCATTACAGAAATAATTTTTATTATTCTAGATTGACTTTGGAACCTGGAGGACATGAATTTTAATTTTTGTAGAGGGCTAGTTGTTTCTTACGTTCATGTCAAAATTTGCCTTCTGATTTGCCATAAGTACATGAAGAGGATTTTCAAATGTGTAATATTTTTTGAACATGCGACCAACCAATCCCCGCATTGGAGCATATAGTTGTGGTTTGGGTCATGAATATCACAAATTTTGAAGAAGGTACTAAGTGTTGCAAGTAATTATAACCATAGACATAATTTGCGTTAAATGTCAATGAGAAAAGAAAATGATTTTCAAAGGTATAATTATTTCATTGACTGACTAAATTAACCTCAGCCAGAGGCTAGAATACTGGACCACTATTTTGTTAAGTCTTTCAAGGATAGCTGCATTTAATGCGGTTTTTTCGTCGCTTCTGTTGCTTTTATATATTAACCTTATTTCACTTTTGTACATTTACTAAAGAATTCTGTCAATTTGGCACCAAATTTAAATGTAAAAATGATTTTAGACTGTAACACAATAAAATAATTCTATGTTTTTTTTTGTCCTTACTGTTTTTCTTATATAAAGAATTTACATTTACCTGCCCTTGATTAAACATTAGGTATGCATGAGAGGTGGAACTAACATTGTAAGAGTGGCTCTAAAATTAGACTAGATAAATAACAGTGACGTATAAAAATAGGAGATTACTGTTTCCCATCTCCCCCTTTATTCTGTATGGCACAAGTACACTATTTACAAAGGTTTCAAAACTAAATTAACAATATGAGCACGTCCATGTAGGTAAAAATTAGCTTGAATCGATGCTTGACAATTCAACGTGTTCGAGCACAGTGTTCTAGTTAGCACAAAACATGCTACCTTTAAAGCTTACACTTGACGGAATTTAGTATTCACAGAGTTATACCTGAGGTAAGAAATCGCGTGGTGAATTATTACATTCAATATGCCATGCCACAGCCCTTGGTTGCAACAAAGAGAGCGAATATAAGAAGAAGCAGTAATTTTTCTCTTTTAAACCATGAGTGCACAACACAACATTATAATGCAAATATACAACTACTGTCAACGGAGAACAATAGAAAAACATGCACTGACTATGTTTAAAGTCAAGTTGGCGTCCTAATTATCGCACGAAGATTCAAGAAATTGTCATAACCCCCGCCTTTGAAAACAGCTTTGTACTTCATAAATACGTACTTTTATTTAATGTAATTACTAAAGTTGTAGATTAGATGTTGACCATTCCTGCAATCAAAAGAAAAATGCTTGCTTTGAAAGTTTATTTTGTTGCAATTTTCGCATGTCCTTAAGTGCAGTCATCCTTTCTATAAGTAAACCTTCAAAGGTGTTATGTATTGCTTTTTCAACGTTTTTGGAGTCAAAACCATGTCCGGGGGGGGGGGGGTGATTTTCAAAATTTTGTAGAGGAGCATGTGTTTATAACAATATTCAAAGAAAGAATTTGCCTGATTATTATCGACGAGAAGAAAAAGACAATTTTTCAAGCAGAGGGGCGTATACATTTGGCGTGTAATCCACAGGAATCGAAAATAGAATAATGAGGAGTTGAAATACCCGGTAAGCAGAGGCTTTGGTGGGCGGACAACAGCTGGAAAGTCTTATATAAACTCGCTGAAATATCGTCGTATGATATTAATATGCATGGGTCATTTAATTGACTGCTCAAAGTCGCGATAGCAAATCAATGAATCATAGTTTACGTTACGTCTGTATGTTCAGCAATGAAAAACGCTCTTTCGTAGTTATCACATCGATTGCAAACACACCCATCGGCAGCGTGGCTCAGTGGTTCGGGCGTATGCTCTATTAGTCGCAGATTAAGGGGGTAAGAGTTGTGGGTTCAAAACCCACTGTGGGATGTGAATACCAGTTCTTCGGATAAGACCGTATAAAGTGAGGTCCCGTGTCCGAAAGTGCTGGCACGAAAAAGATACCTCACTGCACAAAGGCCGTAAATACAGTACAGATACAGTACAGTATGTGAGTACAGGTTAACTTTGCAACCCTCCAACAGAAAAATGGGGATATATGACTGAAAGTAACATGCATGTAAAATGCAAAATCATATTTTTTTTTATACTTTTAAAAATATGTTGAACTGCCAGAATATTGATGATTTTAGAAAATAATGGGGGTACATCTTATATAGATTGAGTGTTCTAATCTTTTTACATACCCTGACATTGGCAATATCGATGGTGGTGGGTGTCCTTCAAACACTTGCCTGTTTCTCCTGCTTGGCATTGGCAATGGCTGTCTTCAGTGCATTCTATAGCAGAATGAGAATATCTTTAGATTTCCTAATCATATGAAACTTCTACAAGAAAAGGAGAAACTTAAATAAATTTTAGTCATAACTTTCCGTCCCATGAAAACTTAGGAAATCAACCTAGCATTCACAACGGAAATCAATCGCAAACAAGTTTCCATGTTGTCTCCTTGATCATGTAGTTTCCCAAAAAAAGAAGCCTTTTTTACCCAGTGATTCTAGGAACTTCGTATTTCATAATAAATTTGGCATATTCCTAAAGAAATTTAAAGCTCGTATATCCTTATGACAATTAACTAATTGATATAAATAATTCAGCTTCAAATAAATAACACTGCCATTTGTGTTAAAAGTTGAAATCTTTCTTCCTACATTTGAACATTTTACATTCATGACGAAAATTCACACAAGTGAAAATTCTCTGAAAAAATGAATTATTAGTTAAGATAAACATAATGACAAAATTTTCAGGATTTCTTACGTAAAGTGTTAAATAGCAAAAAGCTTTTTGATGTGTGTGTTTGTGTGTGTATTTCGGTTTTGGTGTTTTTTATCGACGAGCAATATATCATTTTTTCCATAATGTTCACACAAAATGCATCAGATATTTAAGTGATGATTTGTTTAAATTATTGGAGTATAGATAGACTCAAAGAAAATCTAATACCTCATGTTGTCAGTTAAAAAAAAAAACAACAAAAAAATACCCACTTAAATTCGATACGTCCAAGGGTGATATATTATGCGTTACACGAGAATTTTGATAAATATTTCTTTGTTAATAGGAAAATACCTCTTATGACCACATTAAATACTATTCCTCAAAACTGGCAGCATTTGCTGTACATGTATATCTACGTATTTGTATCCTGACAGCCGTTTCTATGGCTAAAACCAATCTATGACTGATTATAATCTATGACTATACAGTAAACTGTTGTAGATGATGTTTCTCCCATGGCAAAACTAAGTAATCAAGAATGCGCAACTGGATGGGGAACACTTATTTTCCCTGAAATCGGCAGAAATAGCCTTGAGGGTAATTATGAATAAACAATTTCATGTCTTGCTAGTGATGCAAGTGCAGATTCTATCTATTGTACAGTTAAAAGGAAAGTGTTTGAAATACGATTGCTCTGTAAATCTTGCATTTAGCCAGGGAGAGCAGACACAAATCAAATACTCTAATCAGTGAAATTATTATCCTATGAAGATATTGGTCAGTTTGTTTAACATGAAAATATGCTACTAAATGTTTAATTAATTATACCGTAACAATGGCATGAACTTTGATGGTAGCTGTAGTGAGAACAGTGTGGATGTTGGCCTCCGTGACACTGGGAGCTACAATCACTGTCTTGGCGACATCCACCTGGAAAAGACCTTGGAATACTTCATCCATATCTATATTTATATTGAAAATGTTGTGATTTATATTGACAGATTTATGGAGAGGGCTAAAATAGACTGTGCCTGCTACCCATCCACATTCACTTTTGTGATTAAAGGTGCACACGACTCGTAAATAGACATACGCCGTATTAGTTTTCCTATTTCCGATAACAGCACTGAGGTATAAACTTCGTATTCGTTACACCTGTCAGTGACTGCTTACTTTTCACGGGTATCTACGTGGAATGGACGACACGTGTCCGTGTTGATTTATTGCAGTTTACGTGTACGTGTCTGTGTGTGTACTGCACTGACCTGTGCAATCGATGTAAGTTTCTATATTACTGAGAAACACAAAGTTTTTTTTTTGTCGCTACTGAGAGTTTTACAATTATAGCTGTTTAGAATATGTCCATCCACAAATAAATATATATATATGTATATATATATATATATATATATATAGAGAGAGAGAGAGAGAGAGAGCAAAGTAAAGTACCCTATTTGGGTCTTTAGAGCAAAATTAAAAAGTGAGTAGAATCGTCGACATACATGAAATAACAATAATTATTTTTATAGACATTCATTCAAAGATTATTCCATCTGATCATCTTTTTATGTTAAACAGTGGAAGTGTCACTGGATTTTATTAACAAAATGGTTTAGAGATATTATTTTAGAATGCAGTTTATTACATTTTTAACGTGAAATACTGTTATTTATCCATTGAATTCAAATTATATTTTTTAAAGTGAAAAGAGAAAACTCAACATTTTATGGTTGGATACGGAATTTATTTCACACTCGAGGGAAAGAAATTTTTAATATTTTCAGACGTGCGTGGCACTCGTGAAGATATCAAACAATCCTGTCCCACTCGTCAAATTTCACATCCAACTACAAAACATTGAATATCCTCTATTAATCGCACAAATTTTTTTGTTGTCTAATTGAGGAATGGGGTTCGACAGTTTTGGAAAAGAACATAAACTGTTCTTGTCTACGTGTATGTCAACATAACTTTCTCAGTGGTGGATTCACTGAGGAGGTGGGATGGGGGCTGTTCCCGAATTATTTTGACATGCAAAAGAAAACAACTAAAAAAAATGTTTTCATGGGAGGGGGGTGGATGGGTGTCAGTCTTTGGATACAGTATTTTGCTATATAAATTTCAATAATTCTAAAGACTGGCGTAATATCACTGGGAGTCCAGGCCACTGCCCTGTCCAGAGTAAGAACATATTTTACCTCAAAACTAATCTTAAGCAACCCTTACCGTGGGGTTAATCTTATCACCGGATGAAATTCTGCCATTCAATTAACTGAAAGGTGAATGAAAGTCTACTGAAAGGTGACTGAACGGCAGTGCTCTGCCATTCAGTAACCTTTTCAGACCTTTCAGTTACAATTCAGTTGACTGGATGGTGTAGGTTCATCCTGTGTATTTTTACGTTCCTCAGATATACATGTAAAACATTTAGTATCAGAAGGCCTGAAATTCTTATTTCATCAAAATAATCAATACTTTGAAATAATTTTTTTTTGGAATATTCCGTTTTCCTTTTATATGCCCCACGAATCTGCCACTTCTTTTCACTTCATTTTTTCACGAAGTGGCCAGAGAGAGGGTAGGGTTCTAGTGTATATACTTTTTCAAATATCCTCATATTACACATGAAGTCATTGGTTATAAATAATTCATTTACGTAATGTTAATTTAGAGTCTCTGTAAGTAAAACAAATAAAGAGTGTGGAGGAGGGGGGACGCCGGTTCTGGGTCCGCCTTTGTTCCTCTTCCTACAAACAGCAGTTATTCCCTCTCGGCTTAAACAGACACACAATTTTCTTATCTCTAAAGTATCGTTCAAACACCACTTCCCGCACAGATCCAGGACAAATTTCTTGTCGAGCCCAAATCGTTGATCACTCTTTCAGAAGTTGAAATTTTATTCAGGAACTTAGAAAAAACAGTTTTTTGGCACTGTTAAAATAATCTTCAAGTTACATCATTTCTGAAACTATATTTTTAACAGTCATTTCTTTTAACTTAACGCAAATAGAATAAAAAAAGATTAATACTTGCAAACATGCAGCTCATCAGAACAAATGTAGCAACAAATATCGCTTTCATCCTGTCTGTGGAATAAGACTTCCTATTACCTCCTGCCCGGTTATAAGAATGTAAAACTACTGAGAGTCGATGGTTCTTATCACGGTGTTCCAATGATAAATTCTTATGCATTTCGATAAACATTTGTGACATATTTTTAGAACAGAAGCACACGTAATGGTGTTATCATAAAGGTCTTATATGTGATGTCAGTATGTATTTCTTTTACCAAAAAAAAAAAAAAAAAAAAAAAAAAAAAAAAAAAATGCCTTATGATCATAGATCAGACTGGATCTATGAATATAAACTCTGAAAAACTCAAAAAGGATTTTTATTAAGAGAATCTTTTTTAAATTATAAAATGGCTTAGATTTATTAAAAAAAACCCGGATTCTTCAAAATTGTGGCTGACTTGTCAGTAATTGTTAAATTAATGTAAAAATACAACAGCTGTGCATTTAAAATTAATCTGTCATTTTTTCCCCTCGCAATATTTATTTGCATTATATAAGTTTCCAACGTCACAAACGGCTCTTACGTCTATTAAGCATACCAGTTCTGAAAGGCGCTAAATTCGTATTAAAGATTAACGAAATAAACAATTATGAATAGAGAAATTAGAGAATGTAAATATAAGCATTGAATTCTTATTTTTGGATGTCGTCGGTCCTATATCCCACCTGGCCGTGCCGACAAATCAATTCAATTCGTCGGCACGGCTAGGTGTGTTATCACGCTAATGCGCATTATTCAATTTGTCGGCACGGCCAGGTATGTTATAGGACCGACGACATCCAAAAAAAAGAATCCAATGCTTAAGTGACGACAATTTGTAATTTATATGACTTAGAAACTCCGAAAATTACGTCAAAATCCCGAGTGTTTAGCATACTGACCATAAAAATGACGTAACCAGAGACACAAAGTAAAAGTGAAAGCAAAGTAAAATTTTAACATCAACTTTTGTTCATTACTTGGATGCATGCTAACGGACACAATTGCCAGTTGGGAGAATGTTTACATAAATTACAGACTATCCTGTGGAGTTTTATTCAGTAGCTCTTATAGTTCTGAAGTGGTTTAAGTGTGTCAATTATAGCATGTTATTATCGAATCTTATGTAGAAGTTTTTGAATAAATTCTACTTCATATGAATATACAAATAGAAACCAGCTGAGTCATACAAAAAGGAACATTCCGTACAATATGGCGAGACGTATTTGTAGCATTGTGACCGACCCTTCTCTACGCTTGAAAATACTTCAAAAATTAAAACAACACCCGAGACGACAAAACTACCCAATGAACCTAACTGAAGACGGAATCAACCATGCAAAAGACATACCTATATCCCAGTTATGAAAAATTCGTCATCCAGAGGAAAACGACGGAGAGAACATCTCATTTGTGATAACTCATAACCCACGTAACCACAATATTCTTAATTTAGCTTTTAACGAATACACTATATAATCCAATATTAAAACAATTTGAAAATATGAAAAATCTTCTGGACAAATCGTCAATTATTACCAGCAGAAGACAAGAATTAGAGGAGGTTATTAACCAAAGCAAAATTTTCCTCCAGCAACCAGAGAATCGTCAAAAAGTGTGGTGACCCCGATGTGGAACTTGTGAGTTCATTCAGGAGGGCGAACAGATTACACTTTTAAAAAAGAGGGGAAAGTTTTCAAACCAAATATTAGTATGAATTGTAAATCTTCAATTTGGGACAGACAAATCAACTCAACGCACGAGTGAGGGTTCACAAACAACGTAAATTCAATATTGCTACAGATGTTGGTTTATTGTATAGAAATCTGATACACGAGGAGTAGTCGTCTCATCTAATGTCAATATCATCGGAGCATCAGTACACGTCTGGGCCGCAATCTATAATACATAATGGAATCGTCATGTATTGGTCAGATAAAGACAAGATGAATTACAATAGTTTAAAAGAATACACAAAAGCATAGCTGTATGTTTGACATAACAAATGGGTCTTCTATGCAATGTTTTCAAATAGGATGATTGTCCTAAAACCCATTGTATACGATTTATAAATGTTTGGAAAACTTGTTTTAAATATATTTCAAGGTTGTAAACTGACCAACATGCCTTGATGAGACTTAATGAGACCGTTACTGTAATTATGAACACAGAAATAAATAAAAGAAAATGACGGGGGATTTTTTTTGTAGTAAAAATGTTGACATTTTTATTTTCTAAAATTACAGAAAAAATTTGAAACTTTGATTTAACGTGGTAAGCTATAGGTTATAATTGCACTTTGTTAGAATGCAATATATTTTAATTGGATATAATTGTGAATACTTTAGGTTACACGAAGCTCATTAAATCAATCATAGGCCTAATTAAAGATACTACAGTGTATGTACCTTAAGCTTGAATTCTGTCCCCGTTTCTGTACAGTCGATGAAAAATCCCGCCATATTTGTGCTTTTGTCAAAGAACGTGGAAATAGGTGTGTATGGTAAAATTGATTTACATGAAGAGTATACCTGTAAAATAAAACTGCATCATCACTTTCTTTTTTTTCAAATTGAGATGTAAATATGGATCAGTAGGCATTGAAAAGCCTATAAAAATGTACATTGAGTTTTATACAGTTTTATGATGAACTAGCACTTTTTAAGATACTTATATCATGTAGCCTCCTTTGTTAAGCATAACTAAGATAAAATAACATCTAAGTGAACTATATCGAGATATAACAGAAAGACTAGGAGAATTTTTCTATCAGCAAGTAAACTCTTTTATTATATACCCAACTGTTTGTCATTCAGTTTTACTGTTGAATTTACGCAATCACGTAACGGTGTGATCCGACGTTCCGGATCACCACACGGTGGTTTTCTGAATCCATATCACCCCTCTCTGAATCTGATGACGTAGTACACAGAAAAATGACGTTTTTATTCTCACGCATCAAAAAGTTCCTTGGAAAAATGCTTTGTTTAATGTATAAAAATTATGTAATTGATCTTAAAAGTTTCCTTTTATTATATTTTGCTGGTTGTAAATAGGTATATAATAAATTTATCATTACAACAGTAACTTGATCCGAAGAGCCGTATCACGTCGAGTTGACAGGCGCGGATCATCAGATCAAACGAGACGCGAAGCTGTTATAATAATAAATATTTAACAAACACCTTAAAAGCGAAATGAGCTCAAATTATGAGTATTCAAGAAAGAGATATATCATTTAACATTTCGACATATAATTTTTTGTATAGTTTTCTATAATACGAGTACATGTATATACAAATTAAAGAGAACAATCTTCACGTTTTCATCAGCTCTAAATCTAACATTTTATAAAGATACAGATACAAGCGTTACATTTAACAAGACATGTACAGTTTAACAGTGTGTGTGTTTAATGTTGATCGAAAGAAAATAAAAAACGTGGGATCTCAAGGACCAATTTATAAATAAAGATAACAAATGTTACCGTAGAAGCAAAAACTTTCATAGTATAACTAAGAGGTGAAGGAAACACAGGTTTTATAAAGAACTGGGTACGTTACATATAACAAGGCGGCCCTGTCTCCAAATTTGATTTCAATTTTATACAAACATGCCTACGATGTGTCCTTTCAAGATCATTTTATTTTTTTTAAATTATCACATACCGTTTTTTCCGTCAGATGTCTCGAAAAATGGGGAGTTTTCTTTAAAAATTACAAATTTTGACGTGATAACGTCATCACGGCGTTACTGATTTTAACGTTACGTTAAAAGAAATCTGTGAATTTTCTGAACCGGAAACTATTTACTTTAATCTGCCTTAGTTCCAGAAAACAATTTTGAACTTTTATTTTAATTCATTGTACATATATCTGTGATAGCTGGAAGCTTTAAGGAGTATAAAAATCTGTAGGAAAATATAATTTTATTGCAAATGATTCTATCAGACAAGTAATGAGGCTTGATTCATCCATACAGACGAGACAAGGTACGTTCTTTTAAAATTTATATCACGTATACATGTATATGTGCGCGTATCAAATTTATTAAAAAAAATTATGTGAAAATTTGCTAGATTTCTTCAACCTTTTTTCGCATTGTCTATGAAGTTACATTTAAAATTTTAAAGATGCATTGATCAATTAAAAAGAAAATTGGAACGTCCCATATAAAATTGTCAAAATTGGACTTTTGGCAATGAAAAAGCCATCACCCCCCTTTTCCATTCCAACAAATGGCAGCGCTAATAATTTCGTTTCTTCTATTGATAAATGTATAAATTACTCACTATTTCAGAGTTATGAGGTGTTTGTTAAACTGCGTTCATTTTTCTTTGATGTTAGAATTTCTTTTATAGATCGTTATTTATTCATTCCAGTGGATCCGCTTTACTGTATGGTTCATGTCAAATGCACTAACCAGGAATAATCCCCAATATACTTACACACATTCACTTTCTATTTTAAACCACAAGGGGAGGCCAGTTATAAGATGTTACTTGAGGAGTCCTGATTGATGGGGCGATTCCAATTTTTTTCCTTGTTTAGCGTCCACCTTAAATTCGAAAACCTGTCTTCCAATCCGAGAAGTTTTAAACTACTAGTTTATTGAAATAAAAAAATTAATACGCCACTCAAAAAAGAGAGATGTCAATTCCAAAAGAGTTAAACGCATCTCAGAGATTCGTATTAGTTTATTTTAATTGGAGTTAACTTTGTAATTGCGTTTGAAAGCTTTGTATTTGTCAATTTTAATTTGCGTTTGTTTTCAATTTCATAACCTCAAAAATGTACATGAATTCTCGGGAGGGGATTCAGAAGCCTCTAGTACACTCTAACGGGCATAATTCCCTAAAAACTAAAATGTATAAAATTGAGGATATAGTATGTGTGTATGATTTACATATAGAGTTTATCCACGTCGGCTATGAAAATCTCCGCGTGTCGTCTTCAAAGCAATGCAGCATGAAGCGGCAGACATTGCATTGATATCGATCAGTAACAGATCGATCAACGGTCACGGTCGAGTGGAAATTTTTTTATTGGTCCTCATTAAAGTACATGTACATGTATAACTTGATTATCAGTAACCCCCCCCCCCCCCCCCCCCACACACACACACACGTCTATTTAAATGGAGACAAAATACAAATAATCGAAATGCAGAATAACAGATCACACATAAAAGAATCAAAATTCACTTTCACGTCCCTTTTGATATACTACATAGAGATTTAATTTCTAGTTCATTTATCAAATTATACGAAATCTGATGTTATTTTGTTACTTGTCAGTTATCGGAACAGTAAGTAAAACGTGTCACAGTGTTTCTTATAGAGTTATCTTTGCCATTCCTGGATTATATCGCTTGATTATGTTTCTTTTTCATGTTAGTGTCTGATAAAAAAAATCTTTAAAAATATACCTAGCAAACTGCTGACATGTATTACATGACTATACATCTACTAAGACAAAAACTGCTTTAAAATAGATAATGATTTTGCTTTAAAACTCCTCCTGATGTTTACATGGTACACAACCGTAGGTAAGATATTTGATATATTTCAGAGACAATGATAATTTTATCACTTTCTTCGGATACATTAACTCTCTGGGGCATTTCCTCCACAAATCTTTACATTTGTCCTTGTAGTAACGATAAGATACTTTAAATATTTTTTCCAGAACGGATTATTATCATAGACGGACGTATTTTAAAAATTCAGAGATAATGTGCACCATTTTCACAAAGGTGTAGGTCGGCAGTGGCAGATTTAGAAGTGATAAGTCCTATATAAAACACTTCCTTGTTATGCGATAAAACACTAGAATCCTTTCTGACATAATTAATTATGTCAAGGATAACAAGTTTTGAAAAAAAATGTTCAAATGGTGACTTCTACTAGTATACCCCAAACTTCCCTCCTACCCCCCCCCCCCCCTTTAACTGCCCCGATCACTAGCTACATGTATTGTCTTTTGATATTTATGAATCACACACATATATAAATTGAAAACGAATAAAACATACTTAAGAAAGCTGATGATTTTCAATAATAATAAAAAAAAAAACAACAAAAAAAACAAAAAAAAAAACAACCTTTTCTTGAACAGTCAAATAAAGTCAATGTCCATTATGAAGGAGACGCGCTTTTTAACTGGAGGTACATGTACCTGTATGTAATTAGATGTAAATTAATTGTCTGAACCAGCCCAACTTTATGTCGTTGTTACTTTTTTACGCTGTACATATTGATTGAATATTTGTTGATTATTTGTTTCAAGTACATATTTTCAACATGATTGCTCTTTGTGACGTCATGTTTTCAATGCATTGCGTCATTAATATTACATGTAATGTCGCATAATAAATTTCACTGAGAAAGGTTTAAATGGTTTTCATTTGCCTTAATTGTATTAAATTATTTTTTCAAGTGCAGAATTGAATTTAAAAGACAATAAAAAGAATAATAAAACCTTCAGATACAGAATTAAACAATTTATTTCTTTAAAAGTATAGATTTATTGTGGAGAAAAGTGACGTCTATCAAAACATGCAGCATTTCCAACTTCACTTTTTTGTAAAAACGGATGTGGCCGCACTTTTGTAAGGTCATTTTTTCTTTTTAATATTAGAAATCGGGTTATATAAGGATTTGTTCTTTCTGTGAAGTTTCGCATACATACTCGGATGCGGCCATATCAAAATATAGACTTGAAGAGGAGGAAAACGTCCAAAATAAGGGAATTCCGGAATATAAGACCGGTTTTAAACGTTATATAAATGAAAGGGCGCTTGAGTTGAGAAAAATTGTTACCCATTTCACACACAGGGAAACCTCAACTGTAACTTGACAAATTTGATAAAATGTAAACCTGCGTTTAATTTTTGCCGATTCTACAGGGCCGATTATTGGGCTTACCGTACCCGGTTCTTTATTGGGAAAATGAAAAAGCAATGGCAGATCTGAAATATATACAAATACAAATAAATAATACAATATCATAATACACAAAGACTTTGAAATTAATACACTGAAACAAAATACATTAATTTCCTATTCACTTGAAAATAAGGAAATTTGAGATGACTTAGCCCAAAAGTGGTATTTTCATAGTTTAAAAAAAAAAACGTTTCTTTCAAAAATATGAAAAAAACTTAAGCTTATAACTTGGACTTAATAAATAAATTACAAAAAATTAATAAAGAAAATTTACCTTTCAAGTGCTGACAAGGCAGCTGGTAATTTGTAAGAGTAGAGTTAAATTTCCCGCACTGATAGGAATGAGCCAGCGCCTCAGTATTTACAGAAGGAAAACCGGTTAAACAAGATTTACTGGGGAACCAACTTACTGGCCAATGAAATTTTAGGAGTAGAATTCATGAATGAAAATCAAAACACGAATTAGCTACTAGCAAATATGGCATATACATGTAGTAAATAATGGCTGAGCTAGTTCTTAAGAAAAAATCGAAAAATTATTTTAAATAAATATCACTCTGTCACAATAGGGATAAAAACCGTTCCTAAGTGATCTAAAATTAATTTGTGTGGACTTAATTTCGTTGATTCAAAATAGATATATCACCACATAAAAAAACTTTAATTTTGGGATTTAGTTTTGTTAATAATTCTTATCATCGATATAAACGAACTTTTAATTCCCAACAAATATTTGTGCATAATTATATTAATCAAATGCTTTTTTCAGAATCATTTTGAATACTAGATCAAAAGAAACTTTTAAGTAATAGAATGAAGTTCGAGCCAATCATTTCATTGCAAATATTAACAATTTTTGGCAATTAAAAGCCTTGAAGTTCGTTTAATCCGATCATTTCTGCGTTTAACACTAATTTTTAAGTTTTGTTTTTACAAACAGAAATCTCAGGACAGATAACAGTCTTTTGAGAAAACGAATTGTTTTTCACAAAAATCAATTTTGTCTAAAATTCGGTTGCCTTTCCCTACTTTTATATTGTTTGAATTAAAATGCGGAATATGTGCAGCTAAGATCATGATATGTTTATCGGTTTAATTTGATATACATGTACATTAATGACCACCTAATTATAAGAATGTTGAAACACATTCTTACTTCACTTTACTTAGAGTAATTTATCCTCAATGATTAATTGTCACCTGAGCTTAATACAACACTGTAAATATCCATAGATAGAAGTATAAAATAAAACAATATGAACTGAAAGATGAATACATGTTGTCCAAAAGCAAGAAAAATAGGATGATCAGGGATCAATAAAATAATTAGTCTAGTACTCCGTAAAAAACTTAGAATAGATATATTTACTTGCCTGTATTTGCTCCTATATGTTACTATCACAGCCCTAGAGGGGGACAGGGATCATGAAATTGACAATTTTTGCTCCCCTTCACTCGATTATATTCGCTACATACCAAAATTTGTTGAAATTGGTTTAACGGCTCAAGAGAAGAAGCAAATATTCAAATGTTGACGGCACATTGAACGACGACGGACAAAAACAAATAGCAATACGTCACCTGAGTGACTCGGGTAACCTTAAGGTACAAAAGAGGGATTGGCTTGACAATTTTATCTAAATACTTTACCTTTAGAAAAGTTTCAGGCCTAGGTATATGATCGGATGGTTTGCGTTTATTTCGACGGAAAATACTAGGCATGGAATTCGACGGACATGAATTCATCCTACTAGTTAAAGATATGATGATTGTGAAAATTGCATAATTTAAAAACGCAAGGAAATCTTGGGAAAATGATATTAAGTCTAATTACAATACAGCGTAGCGACCATGTCAGCCTTAGCCATATAAAGAAACAAGCCATGTACACGTATTCCTTTCAAAGGAAATAATCGTCGAAGTGTAATACAGTTAAAAACGCTTATAGCGAAGTGCCAGGGACAAACAATTTTGATTCGTTATAAATGTAATTCGTTTTACCCGTTTATTTTTCAATAGGTTTTCAAACGACGGGGAATGGAATCAACAGAGATCGGCAAAAGCCGATCGCAACAAGAATGATGGAACAGTTTCAGAAATACATTAAGATATTAAAGGAACAAAAACAAACACGTTTTTCCCGAGACCCAAATGCATGGTCGTACATCAAATTTCACTTATTCTCGATGTTTAAGTCCTTTTCAATATTTTGCTAGTAACATGCTTGTGTATTGCAAGCATTTCGACATACGCGTCGATATATGGTTATTTTCTTGAAAAAGTAATTTTCACCGAACTTGAGTACAGCATTGTCAAAAATACTGTAAACTACTCGTAAATATCATTATGACATCCCCTAAATGAATATACCAGATCACTCATCCATGCAATACATACCGATAAACCTCGCATCCAGGAGGTCCTTTCCGTGGAATTACATTTATGGATGACGTAGGCCTCAGACGACTGGTGTTTATTATTACTGGGACACAGTGATGCTCTGATGTCCTCCACATGTATATTTTCTGCGATGGATTCGATGACACTGATCTTGTGGTTGCTACATTTTAATTGCACCAATGGAAGAGTAGTGGTGATTGAAGTGGTACTTTGAGCTATACACACAAACAGTACCATTACAAAGTTGAAAACTTTCAGAATTTGCTTCAAATTTATATCAAACATTATTTTTAGCTTAGCATTGTTAATAATGGTTTCTTTTCTTCAGCACATATTCAGTAAGAGACTAACATGAAATGCTGTCCACAGTCTAATATTGCTCATTTGGTTTGCTAGTGACTGTCTACAGAAATATCACGGGTTGATCAATCTCATAGACGGCGAGGCTAAGTTTTATTTTGTCGAGGACCAATAATAGTTAACAAACCTTCGGATCAAATTACAATTAAAGAATTTTCTCCTCGGTGCAAATCTTCCTTATTCGTCATCTTGTTGTTTACTGATTACGTCACTGAATAGAGGCGCTACTCATAATTTCATCACAGCGTTGCCAAATTGAATGTATCGGTTTCTTTATTAAAAGCAAAAAATAACGCTAGCATAATAAACATTGTTTTGTCCCCCATGTTGCCGTTTTTATCTTTTTACTTGCCATCTACAGAAATATAGATGGCAGATAGATAACTTCCATTATCCAAGGACAGAGCGTCATTGTAGTCCGAGGCAAAACAAAATAGTGATGAGTCTTAGTGAAGAGCGCTTAGAATGGCGAATTGTTTTACATCCTCCTTACCTTTATATTATAAAGATCGTTCTTGTAGTTTGTTTGTTTGTTTGTATGTTGTTTAACGTCCCTCTCGAGAATTTTTCACTCATATGGAGACGCCACCACTTGCCGGTGGAGAGCTGCAAATTTTGTCCTATGCTCGGCACTTAAGGCCATTGAGCAGTGAGGGATCTTTTTCGTGCCAACACCTACTGTGACACGGGACCTCGGTTTATACGGTCTCATCCGAAGGACCGGTCTCCACGTCCCACAGTGGGATTCGAACCCGCGACGTAAGGATCAACTCCTTACTTCGCTACTCTAGAGCAAACGCTCTAACCACTGCGCCACGCGGGCGACCGTTCTTGTAGTAAATATATTGATGTAATCTCCCCTATTTTATATAAAAGTACTGGAAATAGCTGGAGTGTTCGATGTGTTGCTTTCTACGATGTACATACCCTGACAATGGCAGTATTGATGGTGGTTGTGGTCCCTTGAACACTTTCCAGTTGCTCCTGCTTGGCATTGACAATGGCTGTCTGAGGTGCAGTCTGGTACAAAATAAAGATAAAAATGGTAACTTTGTATAAATATGACTTAAAATAGAATATATTTATTCTCTTTTGAAGCCATATATGAGGGCCATTAAAAAAATTTGTCCTTCGTGGGATTAAGAAAATAAGGACATGAAATCATTTTCATTTCTTCATTTCATTCATTCAAAGTACTGCCTTTTAACACGTATACACTTTTTCAGTTGAGAAATCCACTCCTGGAAGCTTTTCTGTATTTCTCTTTAGGCAGACCCTTTACAAACTGATGATCTGAAGATCAAAGTGATGATCTAGTTATAGCTTCTTCACGCTAAATGTCTTTCACGTTTTGGAAACAGAAAAAGCCAAGGGGGGAAATAATATCTGAATAGTAAGCATGGTGAGGGATGACAAAACCTCCCTCTTTACTGAGAAAATATGTGACTAATTTTTACTTATGGGCTGTGGCATTATCAAGCAATCCTTGATACTTGATACTTTTGGACGTCTGTTTTTGTATTGCTGTTTGTGTTTCTGCCAAATTATACATTTGTACATTTTTCTAGTAACACTCTTCTTCTTTGGATTAGAATTTTGCAACACAACAGCCTCCTTATGAAAGAAAATAGATATAGATATTTAATCTTTTTGTGCTCTAAAAACGTAAGTGAACGCCTTGTATGTTTTGTTATCCATACTTTCTTATCAAACTTTCTTTGCGGCTCAAAATAAATGCACCAACATTTTATCTCTGTTATTATATCTGAAAATACTCGACTTGTCCTCTTTTTGAATAGTTTAGTTATTTTATCGCACATGAAACACGGTTAGCTTTCCTGTTCTCATACAGTAAATGAGGTATCGATCTTGCAGAGATCTTCCTGTGTCCGAGGTCTCTTGTTAGAATTTTATGAACTGCCTCCATTTATATCCGTACTATACATGTACAAGCTAAGTCCTTAACAGTGTACCTTTACTCTCTTTACTAAATCTTTGATTTTCAGCAATTTTTTTTTTCATTACTAACTCTTTTTGTCTCCCATCGTTCATCATCTTTAACACTTTCTCTTCAATCTGTGAATTTTTACAAATACCCGGGAAGGGTTCTCTATGACAGTTGTTGGTCTCCATATATATTGTGTATTCTTCGTATGTTTCTTTGGATGATCTTTTAAGGTTTAGCACAGGCTTTCATGAAGTTTCTTTTTTATCTGTTATACTTACTTTCTTTCCCATGAGAAAAACAATAGAGTATCATGTGTAGGGTATTTTCAAAACTTCATAATTGATATGCATGGTAGATAAGGAATTTAATAACCCGTTAAAAGTGTGTTTGAAGTGATCTACATTCAATTTTAAATGTAGGACTGGGGAGGACAAAACTCTTTGAATGACCCTCGTACACTGTTGAGTTTCCTAATTCGAGACTTTTCGCAAAATCACTTACGCAAACAGAGCTTACAATGAAATATTTTTTCTATGTTGTTGAGTTGAATACTTAGTCTGCGTAGTTGAATAAAGCAGGTTAAAATAAAATCAGCTAAAAAGGTAGTGAATATGTTGAAAATGCCTAAAAAGTTTTCCGTAATAGTATTTTTAAGAAAAGTTCCGAAGAAAAATGTTGTAGATATTCAGTAGTAAAACTCATTATTTTTAAATGGCTGCAGAGAAAAGATGAAAGCCAATCAAAAAAAGATTTTTAAATATGACAATGAAATAAGCATTATAAATAAATCTTTTTCACTACAATTGAAGGAAAAATCCATGTTTCTGTTCATACCATAGAAATGTAATGTTTTTCTCTCGGTCTGCTCATCATACATAGCCATAAAACAATTATACATAAAAACAAACATACATAACAATAATAAACAATCGTGCATAAAAACAATCATATGTAGCCGTAAAAACAATCATACATAGCCATAAAAACTATCCTACATAAAAACAAACATACATAGCCATAAAAACAATCCTACATAAAAACAGTCATACATAGCCATAAAACAATCCTACATAAATACAATCATACATAGCCATAAAAACAATCCTACATAAAAACAGTCATACATAGCCATAAAACAATCCTACATAAATACAATCATACATAGCATGTGATGGGACATCGGTTAATTTTCATAATCGATCATCGGTTGGAATCGTTACTGCTTCCGATGCAATTTTACCGATTGTAATTGTATGTCATAATTTTATATATAAAACATGTAAAAAACAGACTATTACAAGTATTTCATATTATTTCTTTATCATGAATATATGAAATATATAATATATTGTTATCTCTGTTGTTTTGCTTCTTTTACACTTTCAATAAATGCACCTTTTGGTTCTTAATCACCTCTGCTTTGTGCTAGTTGGTGCAGACGCCATTTTCTTTCATTAGAAAGAAATAAAATTTAAACAGGGAATGGAAAATTCAGGAATGCATATTATAAGAAGTAAGTTTCCAATGATGGATTATGAAAAATAATAATTGATCATCAGAATCGGTAAAAAATTTTCGTCGTCAATCGATGTTTTCTGATTATCGGTACAACACTATACATACATGTAGCCAGAAAAACAATCCTACATAAAAATAATCCTACATAGCCATAAAAATAAAAACGATCATACATAGCCATAAAAACAATTCTTGTCATATATTGCTAATCGTGAGAAAATTTTGTTCATGAGACCTGAGTACCAATTAAGAGTTTGTAAAGGACAATATCTTCTTTACTAAAAGTGTTGATATAACTATAACAAGTTACGTGTACATTACCGTAACAATGACAAGTATGGGTGTGTCCTGAGCAGTAGGGGTGTTTTCCGTCATGGCAATGACAATCTCTGCTTGATGAACAACTTGGAGCTGAAAAAAAAGAAGTTAGAAACTATTCTTAAATTTTTGACTTGAAGAAAAATGCAAATAAATAAATGAATAAATGATATTAATAATCAAATAAAATTTTAAAAAGCGTCGAGACATTCATAAGAGTTATATGCCATTCATGTTTCCAAGTTACATGGAATAATGCTGTCAATTTATAAACGCATGGCATCATTTCTATATACACTCGAAAACTCAATAATACTGCTGATAAAACCAATGATATTTTTTAAAGAATTATTTAGCATATTTCAGAATCTAATATTGTGCAGCTCACTCTGAAGTGGAACATACTTATTCAATGACCATAACTAGATGTAGTTTAATTCGGGAGGTAAATGGCTAGGTCTACTGCGTGAGACGACGGCACACTTGTCAAATACTTCAATGCACCTTGACAATGATACTTTACTTCTTTGGAATTACTGGAAATAAAATTAGAGTGTCTACAGAAGTTTGCTTTCTACATACCCTGACAATGGCAGTTATATCGATGGTGCGTGGAATCGTACAAACACTTTCCTGTTTCTCCTTCTTGGCAATGGCAATGGCTGTCTTCAGTACAGTCTGTAGAATAAGGATACAATGTTTTAATCATATGACTTAAAAGATTAGAAGTGTTCTCAGGTAGTTCAAATAAGGTGTTCTAACACGAGATCGATGTTTCTTATTTCATTTTTGCAATACTTTCAATGGATGAAGAAAAAAATCATGTTATTCAATGATAAATTTACAGGGTTAACCAAATAACATGATCAAAAGGAAACTTTTAAAAAAATTACCGTGTTTTATCTATTTGAATCATCTCTCTCTCTCTCTCTCTCTTTTAAAACTAATCCTGAACATGCCAAGAAACTGGGCAGATTTTTGGGCGGGCAAAGTCAATTAAAGCGCAATTCCCACTTATATGTATATTTGATATTCCCTTAAGCTATCATAACAGCAACAGCTATTTAGTTGAGGTTCAGGTCAAAATTTAGCCAAGGCAAAATAATTTCTGAATTTCCTTTCTCAGTTCTGTCATTTATACACCAGATTATGAGATGAAAAACTAATATATGCAAACTTTTTTATTTTACCAGATTCATTAAGATTTTGATCGTGTTCAATTTTGGTATGCTGTATTTGAGGGAGGCGTGATTAGACGAGCACTTGATTTTCAAGCACCCGCTTGACTTCGACTGAAACAAACTTAATTTGCCTTGCTGGATGGCTACGTGTTTTTAGTTCATGGAATGAATTTCAAGAATTGTTTCACAAGATCTGAAAAGGAATGCTCTCAAAAGTTTGTTTTGAATTCTTAGTATGAGTACTAGTATATAGCAAAATTGAATACTGTAGTGACACCTTAAGAGTGATCGCGTAAAAAGTTTCTTCATAAATGTCAAAAACTTCTAAACGAAACACATGGGGCACCTATGATCAAACTCTTGACTTTTGACCTTGAAAGTGGGCAAAAGTGGAAAGTCAGTGCCATTTTAAACTTTAAAAAATGCTGATGGTAATATTGTGAGCATGTTACCTTGAACTTTGACCTATATTATATATTAGATAACTTACACATGTATTGACAAAAAATAGCAGTAATTGATTTGTTATATGATTCAATGAATAAACAAAACAATCATAAAAAACCATAAAAACAAAACTCGTAAGGACAATGGCGAATGTAGGTAATGCGTGTATGCTTGTCTGTTTTAAAATCTCTTTTTGATAGAAAGAAGGTGGGCATATTTGGCAAGTTGTCTGACAGTGTGTACATTCTAATAACTCATAGTTTAAGTGTTTGGTAAAGTAGAGGATTTGGTAGGCTGATCTGACCACAGCTGGACAGACATTTCAAAAGTTATACCATTGGAAAAATGTTATATTACATAGAAATACCTTGTCAAAAATTGTAATATTTAAGTCAGCTTATCTTAACAGTTACGATATCATTGTAGCACTTCACATAATCAATAAACAGGTATAAGATAGTAAGGTATAATTAAATACAAAGTAGTAAAATTTCAGTGAATGTGATTGTATGTTATTTTACGTCCCACTCAAGAATTTTTCACTCATATAGAGAAGACACCAGAAACCGATGAAGGGCTTCAAAATTTGACCTTTACTCGGCACTCGGGAGCACTGAGGGATTTTTATCGAGCCAACGCCTGCAGTGACAAGGGACCTCGGTTTTTAAGGTCTCATCCGAAGACCTTCAACTTTCACTTCAAAGTGCTGAGCGCATGTCGAAGAAACAGTTGCTACCCATTTTTTATCGACTTAGATCAGTCGCGGCCGAGATTCGAACTCACGACATCCCGATCACGGAGCGAGCGCTCTACCGACTGGGCTACCGTGAACGGTTCAGTGAATGTGAAGAATTGCTTTCGCTCTCAGTGCAACAGAATCAAAATTTAACTATTTAAATATTTTAATAAATCAGTAGTAAATCAAACTGACAAACAACTTAATTGTTTATTTAAAAAAAATAGCGCCCCAGACAGGAGCAATATATATATATATATATATATATATATATATAACGATTCCTTGCCGTCATCCACATATTAGGCATACCATTATGTTATTGCTGCAACATACTAGATGTGTGTTTAAAATGACAACGAAACAGTGCATTTAAACAATGTGATTTGATTGGAAAAAAAGTTTATTGCTCTACGAGTATTCTCTCGGTACTCTTCATTTTCTACAAATATTTTATCGTTTCTTAGAGTTAAAATACAAGCAAATAATTTATTAGAATCACAGAGAGATGACCCAAAGATAACAAACTTATAGAAAAACGTGTTTAAAATTGAAACATTTGTACCAAACGATGTATCTGGCCATATATTAAGACATCTTTTATCTGATCAATAAACATTATCGTGAAAATATTCCCTTTTCATATGCCACAGGAACCTGATGCATCAACAGAATGCAAAAATACCATGCAACATTTCATTGCAATTTTCCCTTTTTAGGCGCGCACAGATTCTTGCCAAATCCAAAGTAAATGCGCCCTCATTCTTATATACGACTACAATTAAAGGGAGAACAACAGTCAAACATGCGCTGAAAATCAATCAAGTCAGTAAAAAAGCGGAAGTCCTAATCAACGCAAAGAGATACAAGAAATCTTGATGACCCTTGTTTATTCGTAAACAAACTTCTAACTATTGTTATTACGTAAAGTGGCAATTTAGATATTGACCATTTCTCAAATTAAAAGAAAAGAAACTTTATTTTGTCGAAAATTTCCTGTTAAATGTCGTTAAGTAGAATCCTCCCTAAATTTTCTTATTACTGATGGTGTAAGAACAAGTAAAAGTACAATACCGTAACAGTGACACGAATTGTGGCGATGGGAGCAGTGTGGATGTCCCTTTTGACAATGACACTCACTGTCACGATAACATGCACCTGGAAAAGACCTCAGATATTTAAATCTGTATTTATATTCATATTTGCATTATATATTTGTAAGTTATTCATATTGACGGAATGAAAATTTTGAGGCTTTGATTGAAAGATGAAATTTTTTCACTCATCCAAAGAACAAGTTAAGTGAAGCGTTCCATTTGGATCTCATTTTAATGACTTTTACATGAAATTGAGTAGAATTGTCTGAAGGGTACTTCAAAACTTTTTCCAATTGGTCAACTTATTGTGCTTTCAAAAACGAGACAGTTTTATAATTTAAGTTGAAGAAAGGGTTTGACAGTAAAAAAAGAAATGTTCTAGACCTGCCCATAATTGTGTGTGAACATGAAAGAAATTCGACTAAATAAAGATTTTTTTCTTTCTCTGCCTGAATAGACACATTAGTTTCTTATCTTTATATATAAATCACAATTTTCGGCACAGATTCAGGACATTTTCTTGCCAAGCCAAATTGATATTCACTATTACATGAACTGAAATCTAATTCAGGGAACAAGTAAAAACTTCTTCTTTTCTTGGCACTTGTTAAAAATAATAATCTTCTAGTAATATCACTTTTTAAACTGTATTTAAAAAATACTTCATTCAATCTATACAAAAATAAAAAATAAAAGAAGATGAATACCTGCAAACATGCAGTACATCAGAACGAATAGTGCAATATATACTCCTTTCATTCTGCTGATACAATGACACTTTCTAGTTTCTCCTGTTCGGTATACAGGAAAACAGAACAAGTGTGAGCAGATAATTCTTATCACATTGTTCCGAAAATAAATTCTTATGCATTTCGATAAATACCTGCGGCATACTTTTAGAATAAACGCACACATCATGATGTTATCATAAAGGGCTTCAATGTGTAGTTCATCATGTATTTCTATTAAAACTAAAAAAAAGAATAATTATTTGATCAAAGATCATTCTTAGCTATGGATATAAGATATATGATCCAGAAATCAAGAAATGCTGTAATGAAATCAAAGAGGGAAACATAAGCATCCCTTCTGACGGTCTACAGGAAAGACAGAAGAAAAATTCCATTATTCATGAATAATAAAATTGTGTGTGCGATGCATGAATGAATAAAAGTTTATAGTTTATATTCGAAAGATTTAAAGAGATTTTGAATGCATAATTTCAAACATTCTCTTGCATTACAAACCACTTCGATTGTAGATATTGAATAGGTTAAGAGCCAAACCATATTTTCTTTACTCCCCAGTGCGATTCTGTCTTTTTTTCTTAAGGGTGTATTTATAGTACCTTCCTTTATGAATAAATCCTTTAAGAAACTCTGTAGCCAGTGTAAGAGGTATTGAATGTGATCTTTCTTTTAACTTAAATTTATAAGAACTGCAGTTCATTCTAATAGTTGTTACTGAAATATTGAGAAAGAATTTGTCCTAATAAATTACTCACAAATATATGCAGAATGTGACTTATCTAATTTGCACGTAAAATATAATCACATATTGCAATGTATTATGTATCATAAAAATCCTAGTATTGGGATATTTAGTATGTGATATGATATGCATAGTGTTTTGTTAAGAAAAGTTAAAGGAAGGTCACAGCAAGAGACTTTTTCATTTAGAATATTTAAAATAAATTCTGCTGTGTAAGAATACAAACAGGGGTCTTCTAATAATGCACCTTAGTACCCTTGAAAATTCAAAGAGATTGTTAGA